ATTCCTGGGATGGTCACAAGTTATTTTCTTTTGTAACATCAGCTTAGTAATTACAAGAACAAAACTAAAAAGAATAATGAAATCTAACTTCTGATTTTTATTGTCTACATGTATTTGTGCCTTATTAGATAATTGTCAGAGCTGTATCTCATGCACTGTCACTTCCTAGAAAAGTTTGAAATAAAGTACTCGCATATTAGATTTTAATATATTGAATCCTAGGATTTGTAATAAAATCACCAACAACCAAGTTAGCAACTCATCAATCTATTTCACTTGAGATTTCACTGCCTACATACCCAGTTCCCTGGACTATCTGGGCTTCCCAGAAATGCTCTAGTCCTATTCCATCTCTTTTTCCCTGCCCTTACTGCAGAAACTGCATTCAGCTCTGACAGTCTGAAGCAGGGACACACTGGTTGTTTATCTCTTTTATCTACCTGCCTCGAAGCTATTACTGTAAAACCTTTAGCAGGTCAAGTTTGGCACCATATCTCACGCAACAAACAATGAGATTATATATACCTATTTTCAAATTGCATTTCATTTTCATCTTTCCCTAACAGAAAGATGACAAAAAATAAAATGATTAACTTGTACATGTCATTTCCAGGTATTTTCATTTAAATCAAATTCACTATACACAAAAATTGACTCTACCACGTTTTACCAAGATCACAAAACATGACACAGGTAATTTATGCATCATCCTGCTGTAATTTCAGTCCACTTTCAGCTTCTTTGGTGACCCTTTCTCTAAAGCCAGCAGCAGGTTTGCAAATAATACTGGTTTGAGACTTTCCTTGTCTGCACAGAGCAAGTAGAAATCAAATATGGAGTTGAATGGAATGACAGTATAATGGACTCAATCATGTTAGCTGGGATTGGGTCTTATTTAAGCATATGTAGGTAATGCAGCTATCTGTATCTGAGTAGTTACTTTTGGCTCTTGTCAGTAAATACACATGCATACAGTAGAATGTGGTTCATTTGGTCTTAAAATAAATGTTTAAAATAAGTTAGAAGAATTGCTCCCTATGAGAACACAGAAAAGGTCCAGGTCTTTATTTTTTCTTTCCTCTTTGGGAAACTCTATTCTCAGAAAGCACTGCAAGTTCGCTTGCCAGATGATTATTTTGTGGTGTTCTGCTTTAATTCCAATAAATGCTAAGCACCTGAGAAGAAATGAATGTAGCATAAAAGTCAACCCAAGATCTCCTTATTCAGCAAACATTTCTTAAGGATGATTTAGGGTTTCTGTGTACCGAGTGACATAAAGGGGGTGTTTACTGGAAGAGCAAGAAAACTGGCCTCACTGACAATCAATGCTGTTCTGCTGACTCTCAACAACATAAAGGGAGGAAGGAAATAAGAGGTTTCTGCCTATTCCACCTTTTACTCCATGTAAGAGATAACATCTGTAATTACTGGCAGAAAAGACTGGATGGAGAGGGAGATACCAGCTGCATTTATGTGCAAAACAGAGATGGAAACACAGTCTGTGTAATGGTAGGCAAAATATGTGCTCTGAAATGTTTTCTTAAGTATCATAGTAGCACTTTTAAAATCCATTCAGGCATCAGCTCTTTGTTTCTCCTGATGAAGCTGAGTAGTAGCTCAGATACCTAAGATGAAGAACTTACCATCTAAAAGATGGAGTCAGACAAGAGACATATTTGTTCACTATGGAAAATGGAAAGTGTAACCCATAAATAAACCCTTTCTGCTGCAATACTTTTTTGCCTGTGATAAGCCTCACAATGATTACATTTAGCTGTGTAGTGCTGGCACTTGAGAGGTTCAGAGTACCATTCTCAACACTGTAAGAGGCAGTGTCCTTTATGTATATAGCATGGCTTTCTTTTCAGACTCTGTGCATCAGTGAATAACTTTCATGATTACAACAAGAAACAAGCTCTAAGCTCACAGAATTTTCTTATCTTTTACTTAATACTGCTTAGTAGCACTATAATTAATTTTTTTTTTTCTTTATGTGTTCTACGCTGTGATCTAGTTGGCTAAAACACTGCTATCTGATTGAATTAGGGAAAGAATAGACAAGAACAGGATCCAACATCTGGCAAGATGCAACTTGGACTTTCTTCCTGATTACGACTGTTTCAAATGCCAGGTGTCTATCACCTGGGGTGCAGTCTTTCTTTGGCAAAGTAAATCTATTACTACCTCTCTGAAGAATGCTGTCTCTGAATGATGCCGTTGCTAATGGAACACTGATTTACTGCCACAACTGTAAAGAATCTTTTTAACATTGTGTTACACTTCCCATCAATTTAGATCAACCAGACCTACCATATGTGAGAAGTTATCTGCATTTTTCTCCAATAAAACTGAAATGATGAAAGCTTTGCTTTCCCTAAGGTATCATCCACTATTGGTAGCGCAGTTGTTTTTTCTTTAGCCCCCATCCTCTCTGACAAGACTGGAGCATATTATTCCTGCAATGCTTGCCAGAATTCTATGGCTTATTTGTTGTTTGAGACTCACCATATGTGTCTTTGATCCCTGCCTAGTAGGCACCTTGGCTGCTTGCCAGTTTGGCACTTAATGATTATCAGCGGTATGAATAGCTCCCTTGCTTCTGATTCTGTCCTTCTCGCTGTCATCAAATCACTCTTTAAACAACTTTCTTATTTTATTTTAGATGCTTGTAAATGACCGACTTATTTTTACTGTGCCTCTCTTGGCCAAGGGTTTGTGTCGCGCTGCAGGAAATCCAACAGTTCGGTGTTTTCACTTCTAATGATCTGACTGCCAACTACCTGTGTAATTGCATGGAAACAGTAAGCAGTACAGAAATATCTCTCATGGTAATAGCTGAAGTTTCTCTGCATTTTACCCAAATGTGCAGATTCTTACCATCTGGTACACTCGGTGGCAGGATTTCTATGAGATTATTTATTTCAGTGAAAAGCATTCCTTTTAATAAACGTTTTAAAACCTTTGACCAGAATACAGTGAGCCAATGACAATGACAGATTCAGAGGAGTATCAAAATGATAAATAGTTTTAAAAGACAGATGGAGAGCCTACAGCCAGTCACGTGCAATTTCTGCTCACTGTTCTGACATACCACTAAACACATCTGAGTCCTTCCATGTGTTCCTGTAAACTGACATTCCTCCAAAATGCCATTTTTGAACAACAAAAAATATGCAGAATCAAGATAAAGAACAGCACAGGGCATGTAAAGATTCAGACCACAAGAGGACTGCGTGCTGCAGATCTGCCAGAGGTCTTGATTCTTCTTCACATGATTTTGCAAAACCTTCCATCAATAAATATGCTGGTAGTACCACTGAGGCTAGATAAGGTTAAGCAGCACATGGTACCACCACAACATTCAAGTTAATTCGTATACTAGGGTGAAGTTAACTAAGTTTTTTAACCCCTGCAACTAAATGACAGCATCAGCATGGTTAGGTCTGCCTAAGGTGCACTCAGAGCTCTTTCTACTTTCTATTGTTCCACACGAGTCTAGCCTAAGAATAGCAATTTGGTGTAGCTCTAGAGGTTTTAGCAAAATGTTTTTTCAGTGGATAAATCATCATTATCCTAAGAACCAGCCAGTTTCAGATGAATATTGTGCAAATGCAATTACGTCTTTCGATTTTAAGGAAGCTGTTTACATATAATTAGAAGCATCAGTTGAAAAATTCAGTGCTAAATTGCCAAGAATGAAAAAGATATATATCTGTTTTCAGGAGAATAAGAGGGGCAAAAGAAAAAAACAAACAAAGCAACAAACTATGAAAATCTGTTTATTTGGGATTATATTTTCAAGTATCATCATTATGTTTTTCTTCTCTGCTCAACACTACTGGGATTTCAATTAAAAATGCTCCTTTTCACCTTTGTTAGTGGCACTCCGAGTCTTAAAGCAGATCTATGCTACAAAATGTTGATAGAGGGCCTAGCATGGAATAGGACTGGGAAGCTTCGAGCCCCAGAAATATAGCATTCAAATCTGGCACAATGTTTTTCTGATTGCAATAAGAGTGACACAGAAAAAGGCTTATACCCAGTCTTATCATGAAACAAATTTCAGACGTATTTGCAAGAAAAATGATTAAAGGTTTGACTTCAGTGCTGAAGTAACTGGAGGAGAGTCCGGGTCAAGTAGGCAGGAGAGGTACACTGTATACACAGGCATACTCTACCTTTCTTACATAATTGTTTTGCAGCGTACTCCAATTTGCTAAGAAAACATAAACAATGCAAAACAAAAAATATTTACATCAATGCAGTATTTTCCTCTTCACATACAACACATCAGAAATAAACAGCCTGTCACAGGGACACAGAATAATGAGGCTTGTTTTATGATCAGCCTTTGTGTATTTTATTTCCAGTTTTACAGGTAGCAGGACTCAGAGTCAGCATGTTGCAGGTAATTTGTGGAATCCTGAGCTTTAAACATGTAAGAATTTTAAAGGCAAATACTTGTCTGGTAGAAGAGAGAAAGGATATGAATTGTGTATGATTGCAGCCAACAGAGAATCGCCTCTGCACTTTCCTATGGGCAGGTTTGAAATTGCAGAGATGCCCAAGACTGGCATTTTATAACATACTGTAAAACCGTATTTTAAATGTTTTATTTCTGAAGAGCTGTCACAACCCTCAGAAAATAAACATTTCCCAGCCCTTCCAACTCGTTCCAGCATTGTTTTACAGGGTTTCAATAGACAGAGGAGCAAGCCTGAAATACAAGAGACTGCCTTGAGAGTCTCAAGCCTATCAGCAAAGGGCTGAACCAGGGACTTGGCTGTAAACTTGCTAATCTTCTGTAGAAAACGAGCGAAAGGTGAGTGAAATTATGAACTCGCTGATACCCCAGAAAAGGAATTATCCAGAAAGCATAAGGTATTTCATTTGAGAGGAGCCTGGAAAATTGGCTGACACTGAAAGGAGCACTGAAGGGAGATGACAAAATATAACCTGCTGCTTTTGAGAGCTGTTAAGGGCAAGCAATGTGCCACTTGCTCTAAGTTTCCACGGCCCAACTGTAAAGCTGACACGCTGACAAGCACAGAAGACTTTTGTCAAAGATGTGCCACCATCTGAACTGCCAACCGGGAAAGGTTTTATCTGGAATCACCAGCACAGCCCCAGGGTCCCCAGCCAGGCCGGCTCGCTGTCAGCCCTTCCTTGGCCATCTCTCCTTCCCCTCCAGCCTTCCGCGGAAGCACGCAGAGCACAGCCTGCACTCCGCTCCCCCAAGGACGCGCGTGCTTGCCATCGCTCTGCGGCAGAGCGGTTGGCTGTCCCACGTTCGTGGCTCCCGCCCGGCAGAAACGTTGTCCCCGCGTCCCCTCAGAGTTCCCTGCACGGCTTCCCGCAATGGCAGGCAGCTGTGGAGCCGGCCAAGCCGCCGCCCGACGCGGGCAGGCAGCGCCCGGGCTGCGCAGCGCTCGGAACGGCGTGGAGGGGCAGGTGAGAAGCGGGGCAGTGGCGGCGGCCGCCGGTTGCGCTGAGGCGCGGTTGCCGCAGCAAACTGTAGGCGGCGGGGGTGCCGGCACAGCGGGTTCCCGCCTTCCGCCAATCGCAGGCGCTGCCGGGACCGGGCTGCAGCCAGTGGCTGCGGCAGGAGCGGGGCCGGGAAGCCGGGCTGACCTTGCGGTCCGCCGGCCACCGCCCGGCCATGGGTACGGTGCCGTCGGCGCTGAAGCACTGCATCAGCTATCAGCACCTCCTCAAGGAGCAGCTGTGGATCGGGGAGCCGACCGCGCCTCCTCATCCCGGGCAGGTACCGCCCCGCACCGCGGGGGGTGGAGGGGTGGTGTGGGGCCGGCCCTACCAGGCGCCGCAGCCGCCAGGGGGAGAACAGGGCGCGGTCGCCGCCATGTGCCTCCGGGTGGACATTTGCCTCGCCCCGCGCTCACCTGCGGCACCGCTGCACCCTGCCTGCGTCCGGTCTCCGAGTGTCCGCAAACCGTGTTGGCCCTCTCTTGATCAGTACTGCAGTATTTTTCGTTTGCCCGTGGGTGCGAAGACCCTATAGAGGGTTCTGGATAGGCTGGATCGATGAGATGAAGCCAACTATCTGAGTTTCAACAGGACCAAGTACCGGGTCCTGCACGGCAGTCACAGCAACCCCAGGCGATGCTACAGGCGTGGGTAGTATCAGAGTGGCTGGAAAGGTGCACAGACGAAAAAGCTCTGGGGTGTTGGTTGACAGCCGACTGGGCATGAGCCAGCAGTGTGCCCAGGTGGCCGAGAAGGCCAATGGCAGCCTGGTCTGTATCAGAAACAGTGCTGCCAGCAGGAGCAGAGAGGTGATCACATGCCTGTACTCAGCACTGGTGAGGCTGTACCTCAAGTGCTGTGTTCAGTTTTGGGTCCCTCACTACAAGAAAGACAACAAGGCCCTGGAATGTTTCCAGAGAAGGACAGTGAAGCTGTGAGGGGTCTTGAGCACAAGCCTTTTGGGGAGCGGCTGAGGGGACTGGGATTGTTTAGTCTGGGGGAGGCTCAGGGTAAACGTTATTGCTCTTTACAACTACATGAAAGGAGTGGCAAGGTAGGGGTCAACCTCCTCTCCCAGGTAACAGTGATAGGATGTGAGGTAATGGCCTCGAGCTGCACTGGGAGAGATTCAAACTGACTACTGTAATCTTTTTTTTTTTTCTCAGAAGGAGTGGTCAGATGCTGGAACAGGCTCTCCAGGGAGGTGGTGGAGTCACGCTCCCTGGAGGTGTTCAAGAAACATGTAGATTTGGCTCTGAGGGGCACAGTTAGTAGGCATGGTGGGGATGGGTTGACAGGCTAAATGATCTTATAGGCCACTTGCAACCTTTGTGATTCTGTGAACATGGCAGGTTTTAGACCATGCAGCTGGGCATCTTCTGAGTCGATCCAGGATCAGGGATGATGCATTGTTAAAAAAGAGTTCCACTTGTGCATCTCGCACTTCCACCCCTCTGTTACAGTTCACAGTGTGAAAAGTGAGATAGTTTAAAAATTGTAGGGTGACAAAAATCTTGACAAGCCACAGTATCGACTTTGCTTACCTGAGTTCGCATTTCTCAAACAGAAGTTCTGTGCCTCTCTCTGGGCTGCCTGTGGTGCTGCCCACAGTTCCAAACCATGTTGGTATTGAGCCTGTTGCTGGCACCAGTGGAACTGTCATGCCCTCGTGTAGCATGCTGTGCTCTTACCAGCCATGGGCTTGTCATGGAGCCCACCAACACATTGATCAGCAGGAATATTCAAATTTTTTTTCTATATTACCTCCCCATGCTTTTGTTGGATGGTTTTAGTAATTTTCTTCTGCTTTCATGGATGTTCAGATTTTCATTTTTCTTATACAGATGCTCAAACAACACGCAAAAGTTTTCCTTATGCTTGAGTGCATCCTGCAACTACTACATTCAAGAAAAAATATATTCTTTATATGATAGAAACCATAGGAGTTCAGTTGACGGCTGTAAAAAGGTGAGATGTGTGTTAGGTAGCTGCTGTTAAGACCTAGGGGATGGGCAGGCAGAGAGAGAAGAGGGGAGAGTTTAAGTAGGAGTTTGTTACCACATATACAAACATATATACCAAGGAGTAGAAGTTCAAGAGCTAAGAATCAATTGTTGGTGATCTGTAGTAGCTTTTGAATCAAAATTACAGGCCTAGTTACAAAATGACAGTCCAGTTTAGAAATCAAGTTAGGCTATGCAGTGTCTATAGCAGCAAAAGTGAATGGATTCCTAAAGGAGTTTGAAGCTTGTTTAGTAAGGACTGTAGGAATAAACATTTAAGTGATTGTTGAAATATAGGCAGTTCCAAATTCAATTTTTTGATGACTTACAGTACATTGAACAAAAATGAGTTTGGACAGTTGGAATGTGTGCTTCAGTGTGAAGATTCATCTTCTACTTTCAATCAGTGCATCCTCCTCTGCTGTGGGAAAGTAGTAGCTCAACATAACTGGTTAATAAGCAGCTTTCTCTTGGATAATTGTATTTTTATGTGCCACTAGCTAGATGTACTGAAAGGTGTGTCATATTAGTATTCATTTGCTCTGTTGAGAGCTGCTTATATCTATTACATGCAGAGCTAAAATGATTAAAAAATAATGCTCTGGTCTGTTGCTCTGCTGGATGAGGCTGTGACTCTAGGAAACATAAATCTAAATAGTGCTGATGTGTACAGTGTAATCTTGTCTAATTTCTGGGTCCTTTGTTGGATGCAGTATGCTGTTATTAACTGATTGATATGTTATCACAGCAAATCACGTTATACGTTAATGTTAGTTATGTAACTACAGATGAATTCAAAACATGTATAAACTTGTATAATAACAAACCAAAGCTCAGGTCCTCTAATTTAGACAGTTAACATCTGTTTCAGTGCTTAGGTCACAGTGATTTGTATGTTATATGCCTAATTATGTTTAACGACCTAAACCTAAAATGCACAGCCTTAAGATTCCCTCTCTACTCACCAACTGGCGCTCTCGAAGCAGGAGATACAGAAGAAAGACAGGGATCTTCTAGAAAAAGTCCAGAGGAGGGTTATGAGGATGATTAGGGGCCTGTTGTACATCCCTTATGAGGAAGGCTGTATGTTATCAGCATAGAAAAGTCCGAGCAGGGATCTTGTCAGTGTGTATGAAAATCTCATGGGTGAGAGCCAAGTGAATGAGGCCAGGCTCTTCTTGGTGGTGCCCGGTGGTAGTACAAAGGGCAGAGGGCACAAACCACAACACAGGAAGTTCCGTGTGAGCATGAAAAAGGGCTTCCTTTTTTGTGAGAGCAACAGAGTGCTGGGACAGGCTGCCCAGAGAGGCTGTGGAGTCTCCTTCTCTGGAGATGTTCAGAACCCACCTGGATGCTTTGCTGTGTAACCTACTGTAGGGAACCTGCCTTGGCAGGGGGTTAAATTCCATGATCTCCAGAGGTCCCTTCCAACCCCTATGATCTACAATTCTGTACTTGTCTTGCTTTTGCAGTTTTAAGTTAGTATTTTAGATTTTGCAGTATGCTGTCATTTTTTAATGGTATGCTAGAAACCTCTCAAATTTATTTTTAAAGTAATTCAAGAATGATGTGATGAAAACTGACAAATTTATCTGTTTTTGTCTTTGCCACTTGTGTTTAACAACTGATTCTTGGTTGAAATTGCAGCATAAAAATGGAGGTGTATGATATTATGCTGCCTGGAAAATCGAGGCATGCCTGTTATATTTGAACCTTTTAGCTACTCCTCAGAGTGATTGATTTGAGACAAACTGCATTTCATGTTCTTTTTATCACTGTGTAATTTTATATTCCAGCAAAGAATGTGCATTGCAGACTCTGCTTAAACTGCTAGGTTATTTTAATTTTTTATTTAACGTATTTAGCTTAAGAATTATTAAAAAAATCTGGTGTTGCAAATATATTATGGCAGTTACAGTGTACAATAAAAATACATCATAATTCATGTTCAGTTTGTTTTGTTATGCTGAAAGTTGCCTACCAAGTCTGTTTTTATGGGAGAAAAGTGAAGCTTGAAGTTGTAAACTTTATATTGTGGAACTCTGGTTTCCTAATTTTTAGAAGGGTGATGTTACTGAAAGATGCTTAATGAACTCAGTACAGAGAAAGAACATTAATTTCAAGGAGTGAAGATCTGGCATCCTTTTTCCCCCTCCCCCCCCCCCTCTTTCTCTCTGTGCTTTAGCCACTGTCTTTACCTCATTCTGTGTTTTTATTCCGAAATTCCAAGGTATTCAGACTTAACGTTGTCTTTCATGTAGTTTAAATAACTCATTGTTAAGCAACTTAGAAATTTCTGATTTCTAACCCTGCTTGTTCCTCTAAATGCAGGGGCCGTGTCATGCATCCCAAGAATGAGACTTTTTTGGTTTGTTACAGATTTCCTCACATTTCCAAGCATTGTTTATTTATTTGATAAGGCAGAAGGCATACAATCTTATTCAACCAATGAGTACAATCAGAAGAATAAAGGAGGAAGGATTCCTCAAAATAAAGAACAATTTAAATTGTTAACTGTTGATATCGGCATTTCTTGATGACTTTGGAGATGGTAGATGCCGCTTGACACATATTAACACTGAAGGTACAAAATAAAACACAAAACACACTCCTACTGAATTTAACAGCAGTAGAGAGAGTACAGTGTCAAACTCTTTCCAAAATTTTCCTTTAAGTCAAGAAGAATTTTCTCTTTAGAAGATTAGTTCAGTAGACTCATCTCTATTTTTTCAGCCAGATATTCTTCATGCTGTGATTTAACAGCTCGAGAACATCACTGGATAAAGCATCGAAGAGTGGAAAGTCTGAAAAGGCCAAGCAGTCGGTTTTCTGAAAGTGCCAAGCAGAACGTTAGAAGGTCAAGGTTGGATAGTAAAATTTAGGTTTGACACAGGTGAAGTCACAGACTTTTTTTTAAATGCTATTGGATTGTGAATAATGGAAAGATAACAGAAACTTTTTAGC